ATGGTGAGATACATAGTTCTCGGCATTCAGTCTGGAATTTGATTTTGATAAATGTTGTCATGGTTTCTAAAAAGGAGAAATTTTGATGAGATTCTTTCAAAACCCAACTCTTCCGACATTTTGGTTAAATTGCAATATAACTTGGTTCACAAATAGAGTATACCAAGATACAAAATGCTTCACTACAGATTTTGGTTTTAACAAGTAGTGTTGACTTGGTTACTAAAAATAGAATTTTCTTTGAAATTCTTTAAAATGTTTTCTTTTAAAAAAGTTTTCAGTAAGAATTTGTTGCACATTAGTAAACTATAGTGAGATGTATCATTCTGTTCATTTGTTTTTTATTTCAACAAATGTTGCATTGCATGGTTACTAAAAATAGAAATTTTGTTGAAATCCTTTCAAAATACAGTCCCTGAAACGTTCTACTTTCCCATTTTTCCGTTCGCTCACCGTTCGTAATATAGCGTTCGTTCACCGTTCGTTCAGCGTGCGTTCACCGTTCGCTCTTCGTTCACAGTATTGCGTTCACCGTTCACCGTGCGCTCGCGTTCACCGTTCACAAAACGTTCACCGTTCGCTCTTTGTTCCGTTTACTTTGCGTTCACCGTTCACTTATCGTTCAGTCTTCATTGTCATTCGGAACTCCGAAGTGAAAGGACTTATCTTTTTGATGGTAAGGATTTACATGATTTTTAAATTAATAACTTAGATATCGTGTTTGAAGAATAATTATTTCATTGCAAAAATTATCTAAGTTATTTATATTTCTATTATTATAACTCAGCTTTTACTTATTTCATGAATTTTCCCTGGAAAAATAATAATTAATACATTAAGTACCTACATGTATGTAGAACGATGCTAAAATATTAACTATGAAAAAGGGCAATGTACAAATGTTTCACGCACGGCATCAATTTGATGTAATTTTAAAGAGGACAAATTATTAATGGATGTATAATAATTAATCCTAGACTTTTACAGAACAAGAATACAGAATAAAAATTATTTCTACAGTAACAGGCATTTAAACTACATGTAGGTTTGAGAAATATGAACAGTACTGCAAATATTCATTTAATTAAATATCTTTAGAGATAATTAAATTGATGCTGTGGTTTTAAATTTTAGTAAAGACCAACTGTTTTAAATAGTCTATTATTAGAGAAGGAAATTTCCTTCCTTCACTGTACATGTACCCAAACATATGTTTAAAAATATGTTTTTTGCCATTCAGTATAATTAAGACCCCCCCCCCCCCCCCCCCCCCCGTTGCCTTTTCTCCCGAAATAAAATTCTTATTGAGTTTTTACAGTATATTTGAATTTATGTTTCATTTTTATGTAAGACAAGAAAATCAGTCTTAAAACCAACATCAAACAGTCATTAAACAATAGTATTTTAATAAAAACTTGTGCCGACAGAAGTATTCTAAATTGGCAGGGAATATGTTTCACATTCAATTTAAAACTTAATCCTTCCAAGTATATATTCGAATTATTTTTTTTCTGCAGGAATGCAAAAATCCGATATAGAAATGATAGGGAAAAATATTTAAAATTTCTTGGAATACTAAGTGACTCTTTGCCTTCGGCATGTTCGGCGAAACGCGATTTCCACCTCTCCACTGTGTCGAATTATTTTGATTGACAACGCAAGCACGCTACTACAAATGTAGCACGGACTTCCCGTGAACTGTGTGAACTTGATGATGGAAAATAAAAGTCAATGATTACTGTCAAATGGATTTGTTAATCTAAAAAAAAAGATTACCTTTATTGTTAGGAATATTTAGGAAAAATGATAAGAATTTTTATTTGATACAATATATATCTGAGAATCGAGGGGGTTATCTCTCTCTCTTACTGTCTCTCTCTATCTCTCTCTCTCTCTCTCTCTCGTACATTTCTCTGTTCAATAAAAATTATGACAACACATTACTTATTTAGTTTTTAAAATTTAATCTACGCATGTATTACAAATAATTTGAATGCCTCTTTCCAACATCTTGACCGAGTATAATCACGGCCGGGAAATGTCTACAGATACATGAAGAAGTTAGCTAAAATAATCGTCATAAGAAAATAAAAAGGCACATAAATATGGAATATTTTGCAGTAGAATTTAAATAAAACGAGAATTTTTATGCAGTACGATAACTGTCAATGTCAACAGATAATTGTGAATTTTTAAAAAAAATCCGTTATTTTACTCAGAATCTCTGTGGCACGGAAATACATGTACGGTTGTCTCAACCCCGTACAATGTAATTAATTCATTCTATAAGTAGTAGTTTTATCTTCAGAAGTCCACATTATTTTATTAGTGAAAAGAATTAGCATAATTATTTACTATATATTAGTAGATTAATTTATTTTTTTAACTACACGCGGCAACAAATACACGTTTGACGGCGATTAAAATCATGTTATTAAAATATCGATTTAAACATAGGTATGTTCAGAAAAAAATGTTTTTATTTATTCATTTATTGATTAATTAATTAATTAAGTTATTCATTTATTTATTTGTATTGTTTATCTCAGTAGTAGTTTCATCTCTAAAGTCCACATTATTTTTTTTGTTAAAAGAATTAGCATAATTATTTACTATACAACATTAATTTATTTTTTTTCTACACGCGGTAACAAATACACGTTTGACGGCGATTAAACTCATGTTATTAAAATATCGATTTAAGGTAGGATTCTTCTCATATTTCTAATAATTAAAAATTAATGAAATTTTCACAGAATCAAGAAGACAACAGTAGTAAGTCATAGTATCAGTGAAATTAAATTTGACCATTTTATATTATAGACAAGGTCAGGTCAAGGTCATTATCTTTTTCCTTGACATTATGAATAAAAAATACTGTTCCTTATCATGTGATACCTACTTCTATTTCAAAAGTTAAATGATTGTTCTTTTTGTACAAAAACATATTACTATATCAAGTCTATAGCATGATATTACCAAATTTGCATAAATAATTTAACTTGAATGGATATTGGCTATTCCGAATTTTCTCTGTTTTTCTTAATTTTTTAGGATATATTAGTTATTTTCATATGCTAACTTTTTCTTATTTTCACATATAATAAAGTAGTCTTATAAATGTACAAAATGATACAAAAACAAAAAGTTTTGATCATTTGGTAAGAGAGAAAAAATACTTTTTATGGATATTTAGCTCAAATCTGCACTTTGATAGGAAGCGATTAAAAGCTAATAAAATTCTAGTTTGTTTGAAAAATCATATTTATTTGATATATTTTGAAAGTTTGGTCCCTCATTATTAATCTAACTTACATTTGAAAATTTCTCCAAGTCTTCGATTGTGTAAAAATTATAACTAAATTCATTGTTCTATTATAATTTTGAGAGGCAGAAAGGAAGATATTTTCATACGCCACCATTCCGCCAAAAATATAGTCCCTGCTAAATTTAAAGCGCAGTTTACCATTTCTATTTTAAGTTGTACAATTGTTATGAGGAAAGAAAAATACAGTCTTTTAAATTCCTTACATCTCAATATATAAGACATATAAGCAAATATACTTTGAATGTTTCATCTAGTCAGAAACCAGAGAAGAATCCTACCTTAAACATATGTATGTGCAGAATTTTATTTTTATTATTTATTTATTTATTAATTAATTTATTTATCTATTTATTTCTCTATTGTTTATCTATTGTTTATTTATATTTATTTATGACCTTTGAATTATAGAATAAAAGAATAATTTCAATGCAAGGAAAAGACCAAAGGCATTCCGAATAAATTGTTCATCTTGCGCTCACCGTTCGTTCACTGTTCACTTTGCGTTCGCGCTCCGTTCGCGTTCTGCGTTCACTCACCGTTCACTGTTCACACATCGTTCACCAAGTTGCGTTCTCCGTTCGCACATCGTTCACTCACTGTTCGCTCTGTGTTCATTCACCTTTCGTTCAGCGTTCGTTCACCGTTCAGGTGGGAAAGTAGAACGTTTCAGGGACTGTACCGGTATTACTCCTGCTATAAGACTTCATACACAAATAGATATAATTTATTGGTTTTTGATTTTGACAAATGTTTTATGCTTACTAAAATGGAAATCTGGCAAAACCGTACTCCTACAGTTTTAGTCCAATTTTAGTGAAACTTAGTACACAAGTATTCTTTACTCTAAGATACATTTTTATTATAATTACACACAAGTAGACCTTAGTCTTGTTAGAGTATGTATGTAAAATTAAAATCAGTCAGACTACCTGGTGACTGTTGTCACTGTTTGAAGTGTTGGACTCTTTTGACACAGGAGGTAGCGGGTTACCAGCGCGCTGTGATAGTGGCGTACATCACCGAGATATCTCAGAGTCTCGAGGAGATGCCCGAGTCTGAGCGAGATCGACCGCTTCACAAACCGTCCGTCAGACTGCTAGTGGAACTACTCAGACAAATCATGGTAAGATATACTGCTACACAAACCATCTGTCAGACTGCTAGTGGAACTACTCAGACAAATCATGGTAAGATATACTGCTTCACAAACCATCCGTCAGACTGCTAGTGGAACTACTCAGACAAATCATGGTAAGATATACTGCTACACAAACCATCCGTCAGACTGCTAGTGGAACTACTCAGACAAATCATGGTAAGATATACTGCTACACAAACCATCCGTCAGACTGCTAGTGGAACTACTCAGACAAATCAAGGTAACACTTTTATACTCAGTCATATAATGGTCATCATCATGAAATCAACATGTGTTTATCATCATAAGTTTGTATTAATGAATAATGAATAAGTTTGTTTTAATTATTTCTTTGATGCAGGACCCCCTGTCTCATGTTGTGTTGAGCCTACAACTGTTGCGGACCTTCAGCCATTTTTCTGATAACCTGGTTGTCATGGTGAACTGTCAGGCTGCGCCAGCAGTGTTGGGTTGTATGGCCGTTTATCTGGACGTCACGGAGATCCAACAGTACGGGCTGGACATACTGGCCAGAATAGCCAGCTACCGACCAAGACTGGCCGAAAAAGTAAACCAACGAATCTCTAAAAATAGCTACCTACTGATCCAGACTGGCCGAAAAAGTTACTCAACAAATCTCTAAAAAAAAAAAGGTCACCCACCGCCCCAGAGTGGCCAAAGAAGTAAAATTCTCTTAAAATAGCTATCTACCAATCCAAACATGCCAAAAAAGTAACAATTCTCAAAAAAAAGCTACCTACCACCTCAAACCAGCGGAAAAAGTAGCACAGCAAATCTCTAAAAATAGTTACCTACCCACCCACCCCCCCACCCCCCAAACCAGCCGAGAAAGTAGCTGAGCAAATCTCTAAAATTAGCTACCTACCACCCAAAACCAGCCGAAATGTAGCTCAGCAAATCTTTAAAAATAGCTAACCACGGACCCAAACATGCCGAAAAAGTAACTCAACAATTTTCTGAAAAAGTAACTCAACAGTTCTCTTAGAATGGCCTATTACTGACCTAAACATGCCGAAAAAGTAACCCAACAATTCTCATAAAATAACTAACTACTGATCCAAACATGCCGAAAAAGTAACTCAGCAAATCTCTTAAAATAGCTACCTACCGCCCCAAACATGCCGAAAAAGTAACCCAACAATTCTCTTAAAATAACTAACTACTGATCCAAACATGCTGAAAAAGTTACTCAACAAATCTCTTAAAATAGCTACCTACCACCCCAAACATGCCGAAAAAGTACCGTATATACTCGCCTATGAGTCGTTTTTTTGGGAGTTAATCTCCGGTCTAAAACTCATTGTCCGACTTATGGGCGAGCTATCAAAAGTATGGTTTTATATGAGATCAGTCCATCTGATATGAAAGCTTATTAAATACAACCGACTTATGGGCGAGTATATACGGTAACTCAACAAATCTCTAAAAATAGCTAACTACTGACCCAAACATGCAGAAAAAGTAACTCAACAAATCTCTTAAAATAGCTGCCTACCGCCCCAAACCAGCGGAAAAAGTAACTCAACAAATCTCTAAAAATAGCTAACTACTGACCCAAACATGCCGAAAAAGTAACTCAACAAATCTCTTAAAATAGCTAACTACCGCCCCAAACCATCGGAAAAAGTAACTCAACAAATCTCTAAAAATAGCTAACTACTGACCCAAACATGCCAAAAAAGTTACTCAACAATTTTCTTAAAATAGCTAACTACTGACCCAAACATGCTGAAAAAGTAACTCAACAAATCTCTTAAAATAGCCACGTATTTGGTTATCTTGATTACCCATGCTTCAAAAAGACCACTTTGGATTGATTTTTTTTTCATAAGTATGAATTTATTAACTTGTTAAATGAGATAAGTGCAATTCAAGCAAAATAAGAAGGTTCTACTGCTTTCTAATTATAAATAAGATGTATCGTAGGTTATAGAATAACATTTGACTTTTCAACCACAATTGTATGAATTAAATTATCACATGACCTCTAGTTGACCCGCAAATTCTCCTCATTTTAATTTGGTTTAGGTTCTGTAACTTATCATTTGTCATTACTTACCATTTGATCTCTACATGACCTTGTTGTAACTTGCGTAAATAATGAATTCTTTGACCTCTGTTTGACCTTGTTGCAGACTTATATGTGGACCCTTTGACCTCTATTTGACCTTGTTGTAGACTTAATTATTTACCCTCTCTAACTGACCTTGTCTTTCTGACCTTGTCGGAGACATACTGTATACAGGGAAATTTTTGCCCGTTTTATTTTCGCCCCTTTGGCCCTACCCTCATTTGGGTGAATTTAACATGGGGTGAATTCAAAGAATGCAGCATAATTTCTTAAATAAAACTATGAGTGGGCGAATTTAAAATGGGGCAAAATTGTTAGCATGTGTGAAAGGGCGAAATTTACACGGGGCAAAAATAACCCTGTATACAGTATATTTACCCTTTGACCTCCATTTGACCTTGTAGATTCCCCTGAGAGAGACGACCCTAGAGATGATCCTTCGATCTATTTATTATATATATGATTTGACCTTGTAGATGATTCCCCCCTGAGAGAGACAGCCCTAGAGATGATCCTTCGATCTATTTATGTATGATTTGACCCTTATTTGACCTTGTAGATTCCCCTGAGAGAGACGGCCCTAGAGATGATCCTTCGATCTATTTATGTATGATTTGACCTCTACTTGACCTTGTAGATTCCCCTGAGAGAGATGGCCCTAGAGATGATCCTTCGATCTATTTATGTATGATTTGACCTCTACTTGACCTTGTAGATTCCCCTGAGAGAGACGGCCCTAGAGATGATCCTTCGATCTATTTATGTATGATTTGACCTTTATTTGACCTTGTAGATTCCCTTGAGAGAGACGGCCCTAGAGATGATCCTTCGATCTATTTATGTATGATTTGACCTTTATTTGACCTTGTAGATTCCCCTGAGAGAGACGGCCCTAGAGATGATCCTTCGTTTTATTTATGTATGATTTGACCTTTATTTGACCTTGTAGATTCCCTTGAGAGAGACGGCTTTAGAGATGATCCTTTGATCTATTTATGTATGATTTGACCTTTATTTGACCTTGTAGATTCCCCTGAGAGAGACGGCCCTAGAGATGATCCTTCGATCTATTCAGCGTCATCAGAAGAGCATCCTTATTGTGCCCCCCGGCTGTAGGACGCTGGTCAATCTCACCTGTAGCCTTCAGGAAAATCTCGACAACTTCCTCTCCTCAGGTAAGTCTAGAAAACAGTTTAATCTCCAATACAGGTCAATCTCAGAAACAGGTCAATTTCCAATACAGTTCAATCTCCAGAACAGGTAAACAGGTCAATCTTTAATACAGGTCATCTTCAATACAGGTAAACAGGTCAATCTTCAAAACAGGTAAACAGGTCAATCTTTAATATGGGTAAACCAGGTCAATCTCCAAAACAGGTAAACAGGTCAATCTCTAATACAGGTAAACAGGTCAATCTCCAATACAGGTAAACAGGTCAATCTGTAATACAGGTAAACAGGTCAATCTCTTAAACAGGTAAACAGGTCAACCTCCAAAACAGGTAAACAGGTCAATCTTTAATACAGGTAAACAATCTCCAAATTTAGGTCAATCAATCTCATAATACAGGTAAACAGGTCAATCTGTAATACAGGTAAACAGGTCAATCTTTAATACAGGTAACTCAGGTCAATCTTTCAATACAGATAAAAGGAAGAAATCTCTAATAAGGTTAAGGTTGGAAAATCTCCATAAAATTGCTAATGTTGTAGCAGAACTGGTTAAGTGGTAAGGATCATTGGCAGATTTTTATTTACTTTACAGGGACAATACATAGCAAGCATATTGTTTTGGCATTGTTAGCGATGGATCTTGAAGCTGTAGCGAGATACGATGTGTTACTGTGACACATCTATTATACGATATTTAATCTTTTTTTTTTTGGTCAACAGACACAGAATTTTCACCGGAGGTCGGGGAAGCTGTAGAGAGATACGACGCGTTACTGAGACACATCTTCCAGCACGCTGTCCCTGTGATCCAGTCCGTACTACAGGAATACCCGAACAACTTAGACGTGAAGACCGAGGGTCGACGATTCCTGTACAACTACTCTAAAATGACGCAGTTCACGTAGGCCTGATTATAATTGTCAATGACTTGTTCTAATTACAAACAGACAGTTAAAAACCAATTAAAAAAATTTCTCTTTTTATGAGGAAAGTTTAAGGAGAGGATATGGAACTTTTTCTAATTTTCACCTTTTTCTCTTTTTTATCTAAAGGCTATTTTAGGTCAATCTTTAAAAATATTTATCTAATATTAACTTATTTTATTATGCTATTTTTCTTAAAAGGCAAAAGAAAAAGTTACAAGCTCTGTCTAAGTCAACACAAGACGAGGAAAGTCAGGAGCTCACAGAGACGTTAACGACCCCCAAAATGTTTGTATCTAACGACCAGGAAGAGGAGCCCGCGGGAATTCTCAAAAAGACGGAAGAGAAAGGTTACATGGCTGCCCTGGATCGCAAAGTCCACTTCGCCGACAAAGAACCACTGGACTCCATGACCAGCTCAGAGGACGAATCTGACCTTGACCTTCAGACTACAGAGGTCAAGGCCAGGTTAGAGGTACAGGAGACTGTTATTCTGAGTGAGGAGGCTGCTGAAGCTCTGAGATTAAAATCTGTCACAAGTCAGGAGGGTGTTCAAATGAGACGGAAGGAATCGGAAAAGGATGAGACACGAGAGAGACGGTACACGTCGGAAATGAAAATTAACGTGAGTGGGAAGGGCCAGATCCAGGAGGTGGTCGCCAAGTGTGGTCAAACAGACATCACCATAGCAACCAACCCCACCCCTAGCAACCCAGTGTCCATATTTTGTCCTACGGTAAATTGTAGAGGTCATGTACGCAACTCGGAGCCCATTTGTCAACCTGACCCGATGTTTGATGTGAATGATATTCCAGCAGAGGAAAATCAATCTAAAGGAATTTTATCTAAAGACAATGAAGACACAAATAGAAATAATGATGGGAGTTCCACTCTTAATGAATGTCAGACAAATAAGCTAAGAGAATATGACAGGAAAGAGGATAGTGCTGTGTTAGGTCCATCTCGGCAACAAACATTAGACACAAGAATTGCTCATTCTACAAACTCTCTGGACAAAAGTAACACTCAATCTTCAAACTCACAGGAAATGAGTAATTCAAACTCACAGGACAAGAGTAAGGCTCAGTCTTCAAACCCACAGGACAAGAGTAAGGCTCAGTCTACAAACCCACAGGACAAGAGTAACACTCAGTCTCTAAACTCACAAGACACAAATAAGACTCATTCTCTGATCTCACAGGATTCTACAGAGGAGGAAGATTATGTACCAATGGATTGGCCTCGCACTGACGGCCTCGGGACACAAGAGAACGGAGAGACTTGTGAAGAAGTCTGCTTGAGAGAGAAGTCAGGTCAGAAGTCGGGAGTGTTACGATACTCGCTGTCAGATGTGTCGTTATGTACCAAAGTCATCAGGCTACAGGTATCGGTGGAAAAAATAGATATTTTTAGCATTATTGTAACTACTGTAGATTTCTTATTTTTTGCAAGTACTTTTTATTGCAAATCATCAAATGGGCTCTTTAAGGTCAGATTGGGAGAATAAAAATTTGCAATTGGACGGTTGATCAATAGAATTTAAATGGATTTCAGCACTCTGAATATAAAAGCGAGTAATTTTATTTCGCGAGTGATGCTTATTGTGAAATTATGAGGAAATTAATTTGTTGAATATAATAAGGAATCTACAGTATTTGAATTTTAGTGTAATATGAAACAAACTGTACAGGTTTGCAGGAATCATATTTCTTATGATGCCTAAATGTTTTGGTTATCAGAATTACCTGAAAATAAGTGAACTTCATTATTTTTTTTGGAAAAGACATTAAAAAAGTCAAATTTCTTTTTTTGAATATCTGTTTTAAACACTTTTTTTTCAATTTTAAGGTGACTCACCACATCAGCTCTTTGGTGTTTGAAGGTAAAGATGCTCAGGCTCTCTCTGTCATTGACAAACCCCTGCACAGTCTTTTAGAGGTCAGTGGGGCACCACAAGGGTTACAGGAATATGTCAAATCTCAGTACAGCGACAGTAAAACCTTGATGGACCTTGATACAGCTTTCCTCATCAGCATTATAGACGCCATTAGATACAGGTTAGTCCAATAAATGAAAACATCAGATACAGGTTAGTCCAATAAATGAAAACATCAGATACAGGGTAGTCCAATAAGTGATGCCAACATATACAGGTTAGCCCAATAACTGATGCCAACATATACCGGTTAGTCCAATAACTGAGGCCAACATATACCAGTTAGTCCAATAAGTGAGGCCAACATATACCAGTTAGTCCAATAACTGATCAAAAGATAACTGAAACATATACAGGTTAGTCCAAAAACTGATGATGCAACATTAGTCCAATCAATGAAAACATATACAGGTTAGTCCAAAAATGATGCCAACATATACAGGTTAGTCCAATAACTGATGGCAAAAGAAATATGAGATGCATTAAACACAGGTCAGTCAAATAATTGACATTTTTAAATCAAAGGAGAAATTACTCTTATTATAAAGTAATACGATAAAAACCCATGGTAAAAACACCATGGAACTGGAAGTCTTTGATGTGCAATGTATTATTTTTTTTTAAAGTAACTGTGTCTTGTGCATTACTGTGTTGGTAAATTTTCACCGTTTCCATGTTAACTGTATCTAATCTTTTTTTAGGTCTCTCTTTCATGACCTTGTTCAGAAGAGTGTCCTTGAGGTCATGAACTGTATGTTTGGTAAATACAGCCTTGATGTCCTGAAGGTGGCCTTGACCTGTTTGACCTCTGTGTTCCAGAACCAGCATATCCTGCCCCAGTTATCAGGTGTGTCTTACCATCCATCAATCTGTAGTCACAGCACAAGAGCACTTTACACAAACCAATCTGTAGTCACAGCACAAGAACACTTTACATCCACCAATCTGTAGTCACAGCACAAGAACACTTTACATCCACCAATCTGTAGTCACAGCACATGAACACTTTACATCCACCAATCTGTAGTCACAGCACAAGAATACTTTACATCCACCAATCTGTAGTCACAGCACAAGAATACTTTACATCCACCAATCTGTAGTCACAGCACAAGAGCACTTTACATCCACCAATCTGTAGTCACAGCACAAGAGCACTTTACATCCACCAATCTGTAGTCACAGCACAAGAACACTTTACATCCACCAATCTGTAGTCACAGCACAAGAACACTTTACATACACCAATCTGTAGTCACAGCACAAGACAGCACAAAAACACTTTACATGCACCGATCTGTAGTCACAGCACAAGAACACTTTACCTACACCAATCTGTAGTCACAGCACAAGAACACTTTACCTACACCAATCTGTAGTCACAGCACATGAACACTTTACCTACACCAATCTGTAGTCACAGCACAAGAGCACAGAACATCCACCAGTCTGTAGTCACAGCACAAGAGCACTTTACATCCACCAATCTGTAGTCACAGCACAAGAGCACTTTACATCCACCAATCTGTAGTCACAGCACAAGAGCACATTTTACATCCACCAATCTGTAGTCACAGCACAGGAGCACATTTTACACCCACCAATCTGTAGTCACAGCACATGAACACTTTACATCCATCAATAGTCATAGCACAAGAATACTTTACTTATATTCAGAAGAACTTGAATTTAATCTTTGTGCCTTTTTCCCAAAATGTCTTCTTTTTTTATGACAGAGTCCACATTTTTGAAGGAGGCAAAAGGAATTATATCAAAATTATCAGGTGTTTTACAAACAGACGTACCAGCAATACGGGAACTTCACAGGGTTGTGAGTGACATCACATCACATGCACCAATCTGTAGTCACAACACAAGAGCAATCAGACAGCACTTTACCCCATAGAATGAAATGTCCCTCAACACCCTGACCGTCTGTAGAATAACACACCCATCTCTTCAGATCTTACATGACCCTCCAAACAACCATACACAAACAATAGTGGGCTTGAGGGGGTGGGGTGAAGGAGGCCATTCCAATGAGGTGTCTGAAACTAATTTGTTATCTTTTTTTTTTTTTTTTGGTGACTTCTACAAAACAAAACCTTTTGTGATTTAAATCACTTCAGGTCATGTATGAAAACAATAACATTTAATTAATATATAATAGTTTGTTAAGTTTGATAGAAATGTTACGTTGAATAATTACGTTTTACTAAATGCATGAGGTGCCATAAATTATTTATATGCTAGGCAATAGTATTGTGTACTTATGAATTTAATTAAGGGAATGACTTACTTTACTAAAAAAAACTGCTAGTTATATACAAAAAAAATGAACTGGAGATCCTAACTTTTTATTTTCAATCCATTTGTAGTACAGTAACTGTAGATTCCTTTTTTTTCAAGTTCTTGTTATCACGAATTGGGTCTTTAATATCAAATCACGATAATTATAATTCGCAACTGGATGAATGACAGAACAGAATTAAGGTTGACTTCAGCACCATAAAAATAAAAGCTAGTAATATTTTTTCACGAGTGAAGTTTCTTGTGAAATTACGTGGAAATTGATTCCTAGCGTATAATTATGAATCTACAGTATGAATAATTTAAGGTGCACTATCTATGAGGAACTTGGTGCTATATAGATTCTACCACTGGCTGAACGTCAGCTTTTGTTCACTTTGGAATCACTGTGTTAGAGATGGTTATGCTTACATGAATCTGATTTGATTATATTGTTACTAGATAATAATAACCGTTCCATGTCTGTTGGTATTTACGCAATTGTTAATTTGATATTGAAAAGTTTTTGACAAATACTTTTAATTTGGTCAAACCAAATTTTAATCTGTTTTTTTTCATCATATATGGTATATACTTGCAATTAATTTCTATAAAAATATACTGTGTATATTTAATACAAGTTTTTTGAAAAAAAAAATGGATATACATGACTATACAACATGCTGTATTAATATTGATCTTCAGTATGCTTTGATATGTCAGATTTGTTATGAAATCCATAAGGGATAATTCAAACTGGCTCATTGACAAACTGTGTAATTTACAATAACTCCTAACCCCCCAACCTTACCTCAACCACAAATGAACTTATAGCATGATCTTACCTGATTGAACATATAACAATCCACCCACAAAGAAGTTAGATCAATATCCACCCCAAAAGAACTTAGATCCATATCCATCCCCAAAGAATTTGCATCCATATCCACCAACAAAGAACTTAGATCCATATCCATTCACAAAGAACTTAGATCCATATCCACCCCCAAAGAACTTAGATCCATATCCACCTACAAAGAACTTAGATCCATATCCACCCACAAAGAACTTAGATCCATATCCATCCCCAAAGAATTTGCATCATAAGAACTTACAAAGAACCCCATAGGCAACCAAAGAACTTAGATCCATATCCATCCACAAAGAACTTAGATCCATATCCACCCACAAAGAACTTAGATCCATATCCACCCACAAAGAACTTAGATCCATATCCACCCACAAAGAACTTAGATCCATATCCAACCACAAAGAATTTGTGTCCATTCTATCAAACTGAACATATCAGAAGCTACCTTTTAATACAGAACTTGAATCACTATCAACCCTTCACAAAACGTTTAGGATCAGTATAACCCTAAAAGAATATAGCTGAAGATCCACCTACAAAGAACTTGGATCATTTGATCTTGCTAAAAAAAACATGGATTATTATCAAACCTTATCATGCTTATTAAACACTTTACCTTGATGTGATTTATTGTTACAATTGTTAAAAAAATGTTTCATTATCTAATACTACGTATTAAGTTTGCTGTTAATTATATAAGCTGTGTAAAATCAAGCAAAAAACCTCACATTCCTTTGATTATGTGACTTTACATGAAGTTGTCTTTTCATGCTAATTAGCCATAATTTATTTGTGTTGATGATTTTTTTTAATATTTCTAGTGTAGAAAATTTTTAAATGTTTAAAAAAAATTATGTATTGAAAATTTTTATAGGTAGTGCAAAAAATTTTCATATTTTAAGTTTATTTAATTTTTTTTGTTTTTTATATACATAGAAATGATCATGTAGGAGATATTGTTCATATAAAACAGAGTGCAATATTACCTATAATTTTTATTGATAGCTTTATGAACTGCAAATTCAAAATATATAAATGGTTTATTTTTTGTTTATATGAAGTACATGTCATGATTGTATAAATTGTTTATTTATGTTTTCATTGATATATTTATATATTTATAGAAATATTTTAAATTTGCTTTAAAACTTTAAATTTTTTTACATTAAAAGTTTAATTTTTTTATAACAGGAAATCCAGTTAATAAATAAAATTTAACATCAAAACTGATTGTGCTTGCTGTTTGCAATATAGCTCAGCTTGGTCCATTTTATGAGAATAGGTAGATAAATCCAGCTGTACAAGGATTTGCAGGTGCCCTATAGTAGTCACTCTGTCTTATTCTTCCAACCACAAATTTTAAAGGTTTTCTTTTTCTAATATAATCTTTTTAGATCACCTGAGCTGAAAGCTCAAATGAGCTTTTCTGATCACACGTCCCTCTGTCCTTTCGTTTGTCCCAGTTGGTTTTCCGCACTTTTTTTCTAATCTCTTGCAGATATTGAGCTGATTTTAGGTAGGTGAATGTACAGGTGAAGTTTGAATTTCATCTTGCATCATTCATTTGACTTTTGACAGAATTATGGCATTTTTAATTTTTTACAATAATTATTGGGATTACAATTGGGTATGATCGGGTTCGTGATACACTAATGTAATATTCCAAAGGAGCTGCTGCCTATCCTACAGAAAGAAGGGGAATCCGGTAGGGGGCGTGTATTGCATATACAATACTCTCAGAAACCTTGTTAATAATATATGATTGATTTTTTAATTGAATTAAAATAAAAGAAAAGATTTAATGAACATTCACTTATATCCAAGAATATTTCAAATATGGTGATGCTTTAAATTTAAAAGCTTAATTTCAATGGAAAATATCTAACCTCCCCCCCCCTCCCCAACTTATAAGTCCCCTACCGGTGAAACCGGAGGAGACTATAGGCTTCCTGTGAGTTTGTTCGTCCGTCTGTCTTACTTGGTTTTCCGTTTTGAACCGATTTTTAGCTCTACTGGTCAGAGACCAGAAGAGCTTATGCTGATTTTTTGTAATGTCTGTCCGTCTGTCTGTCTGTAAAAATTTTTTTTCAAAATGTTCTTGATCCTAAAGTTTAAATTTTTGGTTGATTTCAATATAACTTGGCACACAAGTATACACTTGATATATAATTCTAATATCAGTTTTTGATTTCGTGAACGTTGTTGCCATGGTACTAAATATTTTTTTTCTTTCAAATTGCTACTCCTCCTAAAGTTTTGGTCTGATTTCAATATAACTTGGCACACAAGTAGACTACACTAAGATACATAATTCTGAATATCGTTTTTTGACTTTGATGAACGGTGTTGCCGTTTACTAAAAATAGAAAGAGATAAATTCGTGAACTTTCGGGTTCTCTAGTAGTGATTTGTTTAAATACTTTGAGTAACAAAAATTTTTACAAGGTGTTTTTTTAATTTAAAGTAACTTTTATTGAAAGTTCCTGTATGAAAGTTATATGCTATTCTAAATCCTTCCCTTTGCCCAGAATTTTCAAACTTTGTGAAAAGACAGATTTTATTATATGTGTACTTGAATTAGATAATATTGGTTATTCAGGTGGTTTTCATATTGAAAATGTTGAATTGTATTTAATTTTTTTCAATAAAAAATTATTTTTCACAATTTTAAATCTTTTCCACTAATAACCAAGTCTTCCATAGTGGTATGCTTGTTTCCTAAGTTAAATGTAAGTGAATTTTTATAATATTTTTTCTTGACTTGTATGTTTTTTATATTGAAAAATAATTTTTAAGAAAAGATATTAATGAACATTTTTATATCAAATATTTGGGGAAAAAAATTTTAAACTATTTTAATGAATTAGCCTAATTTTATTTTTAAAATTTTCAAACCCCTGGGTGGTATTGGATTTAGAAAAGATTACTTAAGTTATGACAATATGCGTATTTTCACAAATGATTACCACAACTGTACATTGATTTGAAAAAGGTATCTAAAAATTTCCAATTTAAATACTTGTGTGGGAATTTTTCTGTGAAATTCTTTCAAAATGCTACTCCTTCTACAGTTTTGGTCTGATTTCAATATAACTTGGCACACAAGTAGACTACACTAAGATATATAATTCTGAATATCGGTTTTTGACTTTGATGAACGGTGTTGCCATGGTTACTAAAAATAGAAATTTCTGTGAAATTCTTTCAAAATGCTACTCCTTCTACAGTTTTGGTCTAAAATTTCAATATAAATTGGCACACAAGTAGACTACACTAAGATACATAATTCTGTGTATCAGTTTTTGATTTCGATGAACCGTGTTGCCGTCGTTACTAAAAATAGAAATTTCTACGAAATTCTTTCAAAATACTACTCCTTTTACAGTATTAGTCTGATTATAATATAATGTGGCATGCAAATAGACTACACTAAGAACGTAAGGAGACTTAATCAAGGATCATTATTCTATTTATTGCTGTTGAAAAGTTTCAATTCCCAACTACTTTTAAGTACTTTTTTCTTCCTTTGCTATAATTACAAACCAGTAGAGCTTCAGTCTCGACAGAGACTTCTGGTTTTAGGTAGGTGAGTGTAAAGGTGAAGTGATTGTATTTTGAGATACAATTCGAATTTGAATGTCGTTTTAATGTTTTTTGACAGAATTATGATATTCTTATTTTTTCATAATGGTTCCAAATGTGGTTCGTGCTGCGCTAAATTCCCAAAGTCATATCAAATATAAAGC